ACGTCAGGAAACCAAAGACAGTGTTATTAAAATGTGGTCGTGCTTTCAATCATTTAAGACATTCAAACCAACCAAAGATGATGGATTTCATACCTTTTTGTTTGCTTTCAGAACATTTCTCACTGGAGGAGGAATATTGTATTGTCTTTTTTATATATATTGCTGTTGTTTTGAAGTGTTTTGAAAGGGAAATGATGTGCCCTGGAATTTGTGAAAGTACTGACTTAATATTTGGTTTCACGTTCTTGTTGAAAAGTGTAGTCAAAGCTGTTTTCGGTGGGATTTTCTACCCAAAAAACGGATTATTTTGGCTTTTTTCCCAGCAAGGTTTGATGCAGTAAGGAGCCATTCACACAGAACTTGTTTATCCATTCTAATGTGCATCTTTTCTGTTGTTTTTCTTTTTATACACATGCTTGATGACCAGTTTGAGCAATTTATATAAAAAGCCGTCAGTCAGTTCAAAAATAACCATGTCAAAATGTGGGAAATGCAAACAAGTAATCCCGCACAAGGGATTGTGCAAGATTGTTTGTTTGCTTTTTGCACATTTTAATATATGGACTGAAAAACATGCAAATTCGAACACCTAAACAACACGTCGACGATGTGTTGTGTGTGCTTAGTTTACATGTAAAATACACATTTTAAGTATGTACAAACTTACGTGTTAAAAATTGACGTAAAATTTTGCACGTTATTGAGCTTTCCGGCTTTCCTAAATTTTTTAAGTTAAAATTTGCACGTTTTTGAGCTATTTGGCTTTCCAAATATGTACATTAAAAGTTGCACGTCTTTGAGTTTTTGGCTTTCCAAAAATTTACGTTAAAGTGTGCGCATTTTTGCTCTTTCTGGCTTTTAAAATATTGACGTTAAAATTTTAGCATTTTTGAGATTTCTGGTTTTCCAAAAAAATAACGTTAACATTTGTGCGTTTATGAGCTATCTGGTTTTCCAAATATGTACATTAAAATTTGAGCGTTTTTGAGCTAACTGTCTTTCCAAAAATGTACGTTAAAATTTGTCGTTTTTTGAGCTTTCTGGCTTTCCAAAAAATTACGTTAAAATTTATGCATTTTTGAGCTTTCAGGCTTTCCAAAAGTGTACATTAAAATTTTTTTGCATTTTTGAAATTTATGACTTTCCCAAATTTGATGATAAAATTTGCATGTTTTTGAGCTTTCAGGACTTACCAAAAAATTATGTTAAAATTTGCATGTTTTTGAGCTTTCTGGCTTTCCAAAAAATTATGTTAAAATTTACATGTTTTTGAGCTTTCTGGCTTTCCAAAAATTTACGTTAAAATTAGTGCGTTTTTGAGCTTTCTGGCTTTCCAAAAATTTACGTTAAAATTAGTGCATTTTTAAGCTTTCTGGCTTTCCAAAAAGTTATGTTAAAATTTGCTTGTTTTTGAGCTTTCTGGCTTAAAAAATGTTAATAGAAAAAGTTAATAATAAAAGTTACGTTAAATTTTTTTATGGATCTATATTATAATTATTTTTTATCTTTCTGGCTTTCCAAAAATGTACATGTTAAAATGTGTGCGATTTTATGAGCTATCCGGCTTTGTGAAACAATTACCTTTTAAAATATATGCGATTTTTTTTTTTCATTGTTATTTTAATTTTCTTATCTTTCTGTTTTTCTAAAAGTTTACGTTAAAAAGTGTGCGATTTCGAGCAAGCATTTCGAGCTTTTGTAGCATATTGCCATTCAACTGTTTTATTCAGTGGTGAAGGAGGTGCTTTTTCAAAACCATTCCTCGCATTTTTACATGCAAAAGACATGTTCTGTGTGAATGGCTCCTGATTGTTGTTTTTGATATAAATTTCGATATGCTTTAGTGTTAGAACAATATTGATTATTGTGTTCAATTGTCGGGGGGGGGGGTTCTTTACTGTATATGGGCAAGTGTAATTCAGTGCATCAGCTCATTCACCATAAATGAAATGCAACGTCATTAAATGTGTCAAACGTTTGGCAGCTGAAGATTTCTTCCATTTTACGCCTCCAAAAAAAGCAACATATACTCAGGTTTCATGTTGAGTCGTGCTCTAGATTTACCATCCACCTAATGTAGGGGATTTTACTCAGGAAATGTTATAAATCCAGTTTCATGTCACTTTATTCAGTGCTGATGTGAGCTGCACTTGCTTAAACTCTTTTGATTTGTCATTCTTGCTGAAGTTTTCTATTATTGTCTGAACTGAAGGGAAAAGCAGATCTGTGTGTGAATTCTGCAGCAGTAAATGTGTCTATACGCCTTAAAAGACTGAATGTATTTCTTACTGAATAAAATGTCCACTTGTCCTTCTTATTCGCTCTGCTTTTCAGATATGTGTGCCCTTGTTTTTTCTTGTTCAGCAATACAGTGTAATGTTTATGCCAGTGCGGTATACAATACATGTACAGTGTGTTCCCCCCACCACAAGCAAGATTGTTTATTAAGAATGATTTACAGTTTAAATAAAATGCTGAAATCTTAAAATGTTTTTTTCTCTAGAATATTCCTGGTCAATCACTGTACTCTATCTATCTTGTTAATGCAAATTTCTAATCAGCCAATCACATGGCAGCAACTCACTGCATTTATGCATGTAGACATGGTCAAGACGATCTGCTGCAGTTCAAATGGAGCATCAGAATGGGGAAGAAAGGGGATTTAAGTGACTTTGAACGTGGCATGGTTGTTGTTGCCAGACGGGCTGCTCTGAGTATTTCAGAAACTGCTGATCTACTGGGATTTTCACGCACAACCATCTCTAGGGTTTACAAAGAATGGTCCGACAAAGAGGAAATATCCAGTGAGCGGCAGTTCTGTGGGCGCAAATGCCTTGTTGATGCCAGAGGAGAATGGCCAGACTGGTTCCAGCTGATAGAAAGGCAACAGTAACTCAAATAAGCACTCGTTACAATCGAGGTCTGCAGAAGAGCATCTCTGAACACACAACACGGCCAACCTTGAGGCGGATGGGCTACAGCAGCAGAAGAGCACACCGGGTGCCGCTCCTGTCAGCTAAGAACAGGAAACTGAGGCTACAATTCACACAGACTCACCAAAACTGGACAATAGAAGATTGGAGAAACGTTGCTGCTCTGATGAGTCTCCATTTCTCTTGACACATTCAGATGGTCGGGTCAGAATTTGGCGTCAAAAACATGAAAGCATGGATCCATCCTGCCTTGTATTAACGGTATCACAGTGTACCCATCTTCTGACGGCTACTTCCAGCAGGATAACGCACCATGTCATAAAGCCCGAATCATCTCAGACTGGTTTCTTGAACATGACAATGAGTTCACTGTACTCAAATGGCCTCCACAGTCACCAGATCTCAATCCAATAGAGGACCTTTGGGATGTGGTGGAACAGGAGATTCCCATTATGGATGTGCAGCTGACAAATCTGCAGCAACTGTGTGATGCAATCATGTCAATATACTATATGTCGTCAAAATCTCTGAGGAATATTTCCAGTACCTTGTTGAATCTGCCACGAAGAATTAAGGCAGTTCTGAAGGCAAAAGGGGGTCTAAACCCGGTACCAGTAGAGTGTACCTAATAAATTGTCTGGTAAGTATCT